AGCTTAGCCTTTGAGGGGGGAATTCACTCTGGTGATTACCCCAGGGCTTAAGTGCTCAGTAAGAAAACTTAATTTCTCCAGATTGATTTTCTCCTCTCTATCATCACCAAATTGTTGCTGCTTCACCAGGTATACTCCCTTGGTGTTCAAATTCTGTGTTGTGGAATACGAATAGCAGTTCAGAGGGGCAAGGTGGAAGGGGATATATAGACAGGAAGGTATCGGTTCAGTGATGGTCCTTGTCAATTGAACACGGTCATTTTTTTTCATTCAAATCCTAATCTCATTTCATCTAATAATTACTCCTAAGTGTAGACACGCAGTAGGAAAGCCATTTCCTGGAGAAACAATATAAATGTTTGGAAAGAAAAAGAGCTTCTATTTTAAGTGCTGTGTGTCTGAATTTTGCAACTTGATGGCTAAGACAGGGCATTTGTACCTGGAGCCAGGTCATCATTTTCCAGTAATCTAGTGATACTGTTCTCCAGCACCTGGGAGGTCTCATGACCCAACCACCCTGAGTTTGCTAAAGAAGCAGATGAGAAAAACATCATCTTTAAGTAATCTGTTGTCCTCTTGTTTCACAAATCTTCGGTTTTATAAATCTACCCATGTCTTCACCTATTGTCTGAACCACACTCAGTGCATCTACATTATTGTATCATGAATTACAATTATTTTGTATATTACCTCACCATCTTAAACACCACTTGAGGGCAGGAACTAAGCATGCCATACCCCAAAGTTTTTCCAAGTAGACAAGCCCTCATTAAGTTTTATGGAAATGAGTTGAATACATAAAACGTCTAGCACAACAACTTCTGTATAACTACAGCTAACAAGCACTAGAACCTCTCTGCCTGCTGGCGCCTTCACAAGCCTGTTACTCACATCTCTGAATGGTAGAGATAAGGATGCCTTAACAGAATCACAATGCAGGCAATTGTTAAATCAGAATAAAATTCCAGTTCCTGGGCAATGCAGCCAGGCTTAGTATACAGAAGCTTCTCCAAACTTTAAATGTTATAATAGCAATACCTCACTTTGGATAACACTTACACTTTCACAACTATTTTCTTATCTCATCTTCATAATAATACACGAGGGAGGAAGGGTAGATAATATTATTTCTATTTGGAAGATAATACATTGAGTTATAACATAGAAAAATGACTTGCTTCCATTCTGTTACAAGCATCAGAGCAGAAAGCTGGCAACCAGTATCGGTTAGTCTTCTAAACCACTAGTTCATTACTTTCCCACTAAACTCACCATGACATAAATCTCCTTAGAGTTTTGCTTCTCAAACTTTCATGTGCATACAAATTGCCTAGGGATCTTGTTAGTATCCCGGTTAAAAGCTGATTCCGTTTGTCTGTATTTCTCTAACAAACTCCTAGGAGATACTGATGCTCCTGGTCCCCTGACCACAATTTGAGTAGCAAGATTATAGAAGGCAGTGACTATGGCTACCATCTTTATATCCGCACTGCTTGGCACATAGTAGGTGCTCAATAAATAAGATGTTGACTGAATAAAAGAACAGTCATGCTTGACCCATTTTTTCTATCTGTAGTGCTGAGCAAATAGTAAAACACTCAAGAGATAAGTAGTGAGTTAATGAAGTAATCAATGGTCAATGAAACAAAGAAAGTGCTGACTCCGTAAAACAGCATGTAATCACGCTGGAAGGAAAAACAAATAATTTGCAGAGCAAGAGAGTCCTTGGGATACACCCCAGCATTTCCCCTGGGCTAGCTATTGAGTCCGTAATAACACATTTTTCTTATGCAATTGCCTCCATCAGAGAATCTTCATGACCCTACACGTAATATGATGACTTTTTTCCAAGTATTTTTTATAGTTTGAAGACATTGCCTTCCTAATACTTCCTGCCAGTGCTCAACGAAGTAAACCAATTTCAGCATCCTCATTTTTGCTCTGGGAAAAGAAGGCTGAGTTGTCCCAGTCTCTCTCTGGCAGAGGTAAAATTAGAGCCGGGGCTTTCTGCCTCCCAGCTCAGACCTTGACACTCAACTGAGTCTCAAGGGGTTTTTCATTTACACCAATTCCTTTAACTGTACACCCCTCCTGCGTGGTGAATTGGCAGGGGCTGTACTTCAAGCAAAATATGTAACTATTCTGAACTGAGTTATGAAATAAAGGGCTTTATTAAGAGTAAGGGATGAATACAACAGAGCTTAATTAAAATTCTCTGAATGGTTGGTGGGTTAGAACAATATAACCCACATTAAGCCATTTTCCAGGAATCTCATCTTTCAAGGTCTGGAGCACAAGACACTCCGGCACATTGAACCTATCTCAGGAAAGCAAAAATCACCTGTCATTTATCAATGAACCCATGAAGTGGTATCTTCACAAACTCCTAGTAGCAGTTAAATTTTTCAAGAAATGGAGTTGGAGGACAGAAAACGATAACTGAAATAGACAGGGAAGAAATGTCACTTCTCTTTTTTACAGAGGGACACACAGTCCAGATGCTGCTGCTTATCTCTGAGTCCCTGCAGCCTTCTTCTTAGATGACTTGGGATACCTTGGCTCCCACCTGAGGCACAGATGGGCCATGTTTTCTAGACATTTCCAGACATTAAACAAGAAGGACATTTTGAAATTGAGGATAAAAAACTCTCCAATTATAAAGAGGAAGAAAAAAAATGCCTCAACCAGGAGCAGAGCTGGTTTTATGCACAGTTACCTCAAACCATGTAATCGGGGACTTAGTTTCCCTCTATCTCTCAACTCTGCATTCCTCCAGGTTGACTTCACGGCATCAAAAAGGTGCTCCCTTCAGGGCAGCAAGATGGCCTCCAGCCCCTCAGACCTATATTGTAGTAGCTTTGCAGCCCCAGTGGAAAGACAGTGCCTCTTTACCACTAGTTTGAAAAAATAGTGCATAATGCACTCTAATTAGTTTAGTCCACATGTCCAAAGTTAAACCAACATCACAGCCAGAGAACATGGTGTTCTAGGCAGCCAGGCTGGGTCGGGTACTCCATCATGGTCTGGAAAGTGGAGCCCCATTGAAGCGCAACAACCAATAATTTGGAAAACAGAGTGACCCAAAGGAAAGGTAGGGTGCTGTTACTAAAAGAAGAAAGAAGGGATGGTGAGTAGGCAAGTAAGAGTGGTCTACTGCTAAAGTCTGATCTTACTTTTTGTTTGAATTCTGATAACTAGGTTTTTCCCTGCTTCCAAAACCCAGTTCCTAACCTGAACACCATTTTTGACAACTAGCTCCTTATCTTTTCTTGTATCTGGATCCTGTCTTGGAAACATGCCAGAAAACAATAAAAATAGCTACCAATGTTTATTAAATATTTAGCTTGTGCCAGGATTTCTGCTGTTAACTACTTTTTCTAATTTTATTATTACAAACACCTACAAAGATGTGTTTTATCACAATTTCATTTGTAGTTGAGACACCTGAGGCTCAAAGTTAGGTAGCTTTCCTAACAGAACATGACAGTTATGGAAAAGCCAGGTATAAAAGTCTGTCTGATTTCAGATTCTAAAACATTAATCATATGACGTGTTGCCCGGCTACCTTTTCATGGACTTGCCTACAATTAATGCTTGCCTGTTTTAAGGCTAATCACCTGACGGCCTCTATCTTTGGTGTCCTCCTCTGTAAAGCAAGAAAGAAGATGGCTTCCTCATTTGCCTATCTCATCTCTCAGGGCTATTGTGAGGATTTAATGAGTCAATATACATACAGCATTATGATTAGGATCATTTCTTATAAATCAAGCAAAATGACAGCTATGGACATGAATTTGGATATACACATACATACACACCACACCAATTCCCACTGTCACTTACTTCTGGCTCTGCCGAGGATGGACCCTTCTCAGCCCATTCCTCAATCCTCTCAGAGACTCTGGGGCTCAGGACACTTTATCCCTCTAAAAGGAGAAGCTTCGTCATGTGCCCCTGCATGCCCTGGCATCCAGCCAGCTCCTGCAGATCCTTTGCTCTCAGCATTTCACAGTCCTGCTCTACAAGTGTGACGGCTGCCCCTGGGAGGACATCTTGCCCTTCCACTTCTCTGGGCCACCACTCCCTACTCAGGACATCATGACACATGGTGACCTTATGTCATTTCCTTGGCTCTTTTTATCTTCTTGGGACTTACACCCACAGGGCTGGAAAGAAGTCCTCAGCTCTGTCAATCAGAATGACAAAGTCACAGAAAGCACGATGTAAGACTACCATTTAAACTATTTGATGGGTTTTTTTTGTTTTTTTTTTTTAAGTAATGTTGCTGAGTCTATAAAATTCAGAGGAGTGGAAAGAATTTGAAGAAGCCTCAATACCTCTCTCTGGGGCCCACGCCAAACATCAACAGCAGCCACAGCTTCTGTCATCTTATGGAGGGTTTTTTTGAATCAACATGTTTTTATTCTAATACTCTTTCCAGGTGTATCTATCTTACAAGGTGTAATGAAGATATCAACAAGTCAGAAATCCTTCATTAAGTTAACAAAATGCTTTGCACTTCAGTTTAGTTTTTCAAAACAGAGAGGGCTTGGAAAAGTCAATAAAGAAAGCGTAAATATAAGCACCTTAATCATTAAAAATGCTGAGCCAGCTCTTCTGTGAAGCCAGCCATTTCCTGACTGGTATCCAGGATGGTAATTCCTCTCAGATCATCCCCTCAAAAGAATGTCTTCTTTGAATTCTCAGCATTTGTCCTTAACAGCACTAAGGCTCTTTGTTAGAGAGTTTTTACCTTAGGAGACAAAGTTGAAAAGCCTACGAGTCTGTTGAGATAGCTATTTTTCAACTTAATAACAACATGTCTTCAACAGATGTAAATACAGATGTTGCAGTTTAAATGGGTGTTTCAGCATTGTCAGATAAGGGGCCATTCATTAAATACGAGTGAACAAACAACTTTCCAGCCAAAATATACGCGGGGCTCTTAGGAATTTATAAAATCTGATTAGTTTCTTCTCTTGTTTTTTTCCTATTGGCAGTGGATGGATTTAAAAGGTGACTGGAACACTTCTTCCTGACCTCAGAGATGTGATGGATGTCTGGGAAGATTTTCTCAAGGGCTAGAAGTTAAGAACTTTGTTCCTACTGTTTATCTTTTTCCCTTTCGTATTCAAGCCACTTAACCATACTGAGCCTCAACGTTTTCATTTATAAAATGGAAATCAGTCTAACTTTTCTCTGGAGGACAGCTGTTGCCTGCCTATCACTATTTCCTCCTTTTCTGGTGACAACATCCTCCTTTTCTTCAAAGAATAATGCCTACCCCATTATAATGACTTTTACATGGGGCTGTCCCAACACGTGTTGCCTTCAAGGCTAGGTGCATGACACAGGCCTGGCCAATCCGTGTGTCCAATCCCTCTGGCCACTGTGATTGGTCCAGTTATGGGTATATGATGCAGATCAATCCAGTAAAACTCAGCCTCGTGACTTTTACTGGAACCATCAGTCAAGACACCTTCTTTTTCTGTGGCGTTTCCAGGTTAGGAGAAGGAAGGTTAGAGCCCTGGGATGCCACCTCATGTGAAAAGCCTACCAGAGAGCAAAACTAGCACAAAGGAAGGAAAGTATTCCAATAAAAGGGTGACACGGAAAACTGAAATGTGAATTTGTTAAATCCTCAAATAGCCAACAGCTTCTAGGACAAGATCATACAGTTAGGACCTCGATAACAATTCGACTGTGGAATTGTCGAATTAGGACCTCGATAACAATTCGACTGTGGAAATATAAGAACATTTTAGATACTGTGTTGCTCAACTCTGAAACGCTGCTCTGTGTTGTGAATATTGGTTTATTTTCTTTGTAGAGTGGCGTCATTAAGACTAGAACTCCAGGCTTCCTCATTCAACTCCAAGGGTTCCCAGCAACATGTGAAGTCCTCTGTCACTAAGAAGCTATGTGAGTGAAGCAGGCTATATACCTTGGTTTCAACATCTGCGAAAAAGCTGTAATGATGGTTTTCTCATCTTTTTTTAGGATGGTTGTAAGAATCTGAGACAGTGAGAGGGAAAAGATTGTTTTCCATTCATTAGTTTGGGTTGAGCATTGGAGGCATCTCCTCACCTGCTAAACCAGCACTGGTAAGTCACTCTTTGGAGCCATTTCTGGAAAGAGGTTCTGTACAAATAAAATTAGAAAAGTCTGAATTTAGCATATGAGAAATATTATGGCCATTGGTACATATCACTCTAAACACCATTCTGCTTATTCTTGTCATGTAGGGGTATTTGATTTTTAATCTATCCACTTAAATATTGGCTGCTTCTATAGACTTCCCAACCAGCAGTCCTTGTGCAGGCAAAACTCCCATTTAACTGAATAAAACTATTGAACATAAAATATTGTTAGGAAGAGTTTGATATTGTATTCATCCTGCTGATAATTATCTTACATGTTTTAACTACCCCCAGTAGTGCCCCAAGGTTGGTTAAAGGAAAAATGTAATTTACTCATCGAAATAAAATATTGTACAAGTATCAAATGATACTGATAAATATTAAACAATAAACTTTCCTAGAATGCTTTCCCTAAAAAATTGGGGACCTTATACTTCACTAATCATATATTGCAGAGCAAGCTGGTTTATAACAGAATGATAAAGGTGATTATAATGAAATAGAGGCCATTTGGATTGATTCAGTTTTGCTATATTTATTATAATTTACAATACTTTGCCATAAAAATAAAATAATTGCCCCAATTATTTTATTGTCTTTATGTTATGGTTATACAAATAACCACAATTATTTGTAGTTATTGTCTTTATATTGTGGTTGATTTTATAATGGCTGACCTTTATCCCATGGATTTTTCAGTGTTAGTTATTACAGTTTTTTACCTGAGAGATCTGGGGGAGTTGTGTTTTCGGGTCAAATATCCAATCTAAATTTGGTTCTCTTATAGCAATAGATGGATGACTCACTTCTCATAGGAATGATAGAACTTGGATCATCTTGTCAATCACAGGTAGTAGATTGGATGTCTGGCCCCAAATAATAAGCTCTTCACCAAGAGATAGTATCGTCTCCTTCCCTTAAATAACAATCCTCATTTCTAGCTGGTATAAGAATTTCATCTTCAATAATTGATCAGTGTGACAGAAAATCTGTTGTTGGCAAAGCATGTTTAAAATTATATTACTTAATCATTCTCATCTCAGAGACACTTTGCATCTGCTCCTCAAATCCAATGCCCATTGCAAGGCACAGGTCCATTTTATGCAGCAACTGATTGCCATTATTTTTAAATTTTCCTTTATCTAAAAAGAGCAGAAGCAAACTTTGAGTGCTTCATGGGCTATATTTAATACTTTGATATTATATTAAATGCAGAGTCAATATGACATCTTGTTATTGGTATAGTGCAAAATATTTTCAAGCTTATTTCAGTAAGAACAGTATCCTGACAAAGGCACGCTGTCAATATAAATGCGTCTATTTTACACATTGGAAATGAACAAAGGAAGTTCACTAGTATAAGAAAATAGATCAATGGTCCTGTGAGAAACTCATACGATGCTCTTCTCACTCTGTTTTTGTCAGTTAGAGATTTATCGAGAAAGGTGCTATGGCAAAAATTGCATCATGTGGGCCAAGTGACATTTTTCTGCAAAGAAAATACTGATGACTCAGTGCTATGCAGACAGAATGGTTTTCCTTCCCCAGTAAAGCATATGGGGGTCAGGCAGAGATAACATCCCTTTGGCATCACTGCAGAGGTGATAGGTGTGTCATAAGCCAACCAGCTACTGAAAGAAAATGCCAGATCATTCTGCCATGGAGCAGGCAAGATGCAATCATTCTGAAACCATGTGCAAAGCTGAGTTCTATTTTTAGAGGCATTTGTTAATTAGAGTCAAAGTGGGCTAGGGATTCCAGGTGGAAAATCAAATGGTCTAATTAGATGGGGACGTAGAACAGGGTAGGGAAATAAACACTGAATTGACAGGCAGCCAATCCAAGTTCTGGGTCCTGCACCACTGCCAACAAGCTCTAATCCTCAGCAGTTCATTTGACCTCTGAGTCCTCATCCACAAAACGAAAACATCTCTAAAATCCTCTCTTGCTCGAAGTTCCTTCTTCCTCTAACAATCTCTGAAACGATAATCAAAATCTAATTTATCCCTGTGTCTTAGTAAAAGAAACTCAGTAATTTATTAGGTTGGTGCAAACATAATTGTGGTCTCTGCCATCACTTTTAATGATAAAAACCACAATGAATTTTGCACCACAATTGCATACAGGAAATTATATTTCCCAATACAGTAGTGTCATTTAGACATTTAAATGTAAACCTAAATTAATAATAATTAAATGAAAATAAAAATCTACTTCCGCAGTCATACTAAGTATACTCCTAGTGTTCGATAACCACATGTGGCTAGTGGCTATTATTAAGTAGTGTAGATTATAAACTTCCTTTATCCCAGAAAGCACTAATTTATAAAACCATTTTCCTCTCCCTAGAGCGTGGTGGCCTTCTGCAAATGTTTGTGGAATGAATAAGTGAGAGAATGAGAGATTAATAAAGCCAATACTAATACCAGTCCAACGAAGAGCTGCAACTGAAAGAAATCTGACAAAGTATGATGTATATTTAAAATGAAAAGAAACTCTATTCTATTCTTCATGAAGTTAGACTTGGATAGCTATGTATAGCTCTGCTCTCTGCAATTTAAGAGAAATAATCTGGAAATGGAGAAGAAATAGGGACAAGCACCTGTAACGTGTAGTTTTATGTGTCAACTTGGGTAGGCCATAATACCCAGTTATTTAGTCAAACACTAATCTAGGTGCTGCTGTGAAGGCATTTTGTAGACGTGTTTAACAACTAAAATAAGCTCACATTAAGTAAGAGATTATCCTCAATAATGTGGGTAGGCCTCACTGAATCAACTGGAAGTCCTGAGAGCAAAAACAGGTTTGCCACGGAAGAAGAAATTTGACCTCAAAACTGCAACATAAAAATCTTGACTAAGCTTCCAGCCTGCTGACTTGCCCTACAAATTTCAGATGTATCAGGCCCCAACCATACGAACCAATTTCTTAAAATAAATCATATATGCATATTCATTAATATATACACTCATATAAAGAACACACATATGTGTACATATATGTATGTGTATGTGTGTGTAAGTTCTGTTGGTTTTGTTTCTCTTGAGAGCCCTCGCTGATATTTTAGTACAAAGAAGTAGGGTGCTATTGTGTAAAAAAATAAATAAATAAACAAAAATATGGAAGTGGCTTTGGAACTGAATAATGGATAGAGGCTGGAAGAGTTTTTAGGTGCATGATAGAAAAATCTTAGATTGCTTTGAAGAGATTCTAACAGAAATGTCAGAAGTGTTTGAACCAGAGCAACTCCATCTTTAATAGGGGCTGGGTAAAATGAGGCTGAGACCTACTGGGCTGCATTTCCAGGAGGTTAGATAGTCTAAGTCACAGAATGAGATAGGGAGGTTGGCACAAGATACAGGTGACAAAGGCCTTGCTGATGAAACAGCTTCCAGTAAAGAAGCTGACCAAAACCCACCAAAACCAAGATGGTGACAAAACTGACCTCTGGTTGTCCTCACTGCTCATTATATGCTAATTATACTATATTAGCATGCTAAAAGACACCCTCACCAGTGCCATGACAATTAACAGACGCCATGACAACATCAGGAAGTTACCCTATACGGCCTAAAAGGGGAAGGAACTCCCAGTTCCAGGAATTGCCCACCCCTTTCCCAGAAAACTCATGAGGAATCCACACATTGTTTAGCATATAATCAAGATATAACCATAAAAATAGCCAACCAACAGTTCTCTGGGCTGCTCTGCCAATGAAGTAGCCATTCTTTATTCCTTTACTTTCTTAATAAACTTGCTTTCACTTTATCCTATGGATTTGCCTCAAATTCTTTCTTGCATGAGATCCAAGAACCCTCTCTTGGGGTCTGGATCAGGACCCCTTTTCAGTAACAGAGATATGGATATTGAAGGCAATTCTGATGGGATCTCAGAAACAAGTAAAGAGGGAGGATTATAGGGAAATTTCTGTTGTTTTAGAGAATACCTATTGTCATGAACAGAATGTTGCTAGAAATATGAACATTAAAGATGCTTTGGTGAGGCCTCAGATGGAAATGAGGGACACGCTACTGAAAACTGGAGGAAAGGCAATCCTTGTTAGAAAGTAGAATAAACGTGGCTGAATTGTAGTCTGTTGTTGGGTGGAGAGCAGAACCTGTGAGCAATAAACTTGGATATTTAACTGAGGTTCCTAAGCAGAGCATATCCTGGTTTCTCCTAGAAGCCTATAATAAAATGTGAAAGGAAAGAAACAGAGAAAGAAACTGTTGAGCAAAAAACAAACCAGAACCAGATGATTTAGAAAATTCTCAGCCTAGTCACATTGCAATAATATGAGAAAGCAAGTTCTAGAAGAGAAACTCAAGTTGGGGTCTAGTTGGACACTCTTTTGCTGAAGAGATTAGGCACATGACTTACGCATTCAATCACCCATGTCAGCAAAGGCCAGGAATAGAGATAGGTTATCCAGAAGAAATGTGTGGAGAAACTTTTTGTCTAATGGAATGATCCCCATGATATCCACAGAAGACTGTTAAGGGTTTTGAGAATGTTATACATGATGTCCACAGAAGACTATTAAGGATTTTGAGAACGTTATATGACTAAAAGCTGTAGCTTGGACTAAACAGGACAGAGATGGGATGAAGTGAAAGAAAGCTGTTGGACTTATGGGATTCTACAGGCAGGAAACAGGCTGATAGATCAACTCAGTTGAAAAAGTATGTTACCCTTGGCTGGGTGCAGTGGCTCACACCTGTAATTCTTGCACTTTGGGAGGCCGAGGCTGATGGATTGCTTGAAGCCAGGAGTTCGAGACCAGTCTGGCCAACGTGGCAAAACTTGTCTCTACGAAAAATGCAAAAAATTAGCCCGGCATAGTAGTTCATGCCTATAGTACCAGCTACTCAGGAAGGTGAGGCAAGAGGATTGCTTGAATCTGGGAGGTGAAGGTTGCAGTGAGCCAAGATCACATCACTACACTCCAATCTGGGCAACAGAGTGAGACCCTTTCTCAAACAAACAAACAAACAAAAAGTATGTTACCCTTAAAGCAAAAAGAAAGGTGACTCGGAGGGCAGTGAGGGTAGAGTGACAGGCTGAAAGGACAGCACTACCACTCATGTGAGCCAAGAAGAGAGGGCAGATGCCTCAGGCTCTCTGAGCATCAAGCCACAGAGAATTATTCTCAGTCCTTGAAATTCTGCTTGTCTTGCTCGGTTGCAAACTTGCTTGGGACTCATCACTCCTTTCGTTCCTCCCAATTTCTCACTTTTAGAATGAAAATTTTCTACCCTGTGGCTGTCCCACCATTGTATTCTAGACATAGATAATGTGTTGTCTAGTTTGGCAGGTGCACTAATAGAGAGGAATTTTACTTCAGAATGGACGCTACCCAGAGTCTCACCTATACCTGACTTAAATGATTTAGAAGAGGAGATTTTGGACTTTTCAAGTTAATTACATATAATAAGATTTTGGACTTTGAGTTGACGCTGGAATGACTCAAGACTTTTGGGGATGTTAGGATGGAGGGAATGTATTTTGCATGTAGGAAAAACATGAACTTTTGGGGCCTAGAGAGTAGACTACACTGAGTTGAGTGGTGTCTCCCCAAAATTCTTGTCCACTTGGAATCTGGAACTGTTTCCTATTTGGAAACAAGGTCTTTGAATCTGTAATCAAGTTGAGATGCATCATGTACTGTATTGGGATGAGCTCTAAGTCTAATGATTGGTGTGCTTATGAGAAAAGAGAAATTTGGATACAGAAACACACAGGTACCCATGGAAGAAGGCCATGCAAAGATGAAGAATAAACTGGGATTACGCTGCCAAAGCCAAAGGAATGCCAAGGATTGCCAGAAACTAGAAGCAGCAAAGAAAAAGTCTTCCCTAGAGCCTTTGGAGTGAGCATGTCTCTGTTGATGGCTTGACTTCAGACTTCTAGAGTCCAGAACTGGGATAGACTAGATTTCTGTTTATTTGGACTGCCCAGTTTGTAGTGATTTATTATGGCAACCCTGTAAACTAATACGGCACTCAAGGTAACCAGGGCAATGAGAGATAAAATGCTAAATAAAACCTGACTAGCAACATTCGATCTTTTTAAAGTCAGAAAGATGAATGGTAACTAATAAAAGAATTACGTAATATAAATTTATGGAATAATAAATTATTTAGGCAACTCATTCATTTAATTTAAAAGACATCTCTTAGATCATGAAATAGGTATATTTAAGACAAATGAATTGAAGCAGAGAACCACTTCATACCACTAATACTAAACTTATGCAAAACTTTGTATCCAAAGGAAGCACAAGCTAAAATTCAAGTACATTGAAGGGGTTTACATGAATTTATTGGAGACAGATTTTCTATAAAGATTAGAAGAGTATTTTTAAAAACATCAATATGATTTTTTTTAAAAATTGAACAAATTGGAATCCAGCCTGAAATCTCACAGCTCAACAGTGACATACCACCTGGGTAGAACTTCGTATAGGAAGTCTGCATTCTCACATACCGTATGTATTAGTCAGGGTTCTCTAGAGGGACAGAACTAATAGGATAGATGGATATATAAAGGGGAGTTTATTAAAGCATATTGACTCACATGATCATAAGGTGTGGTCCCACAGTAGGCTTCCTGTGAGCTGAAAAGCAAGAAAGTCAGTCCGAATCCCAAAGCTGAAGAACTTGGAGTCCGATGTTCAAGGGTACAAAGCATCTAGCAGGGGAGAAAGATGTAGGCCAGAAGACTAAACCAGTCTAGTCTATGTTCTTCTGCTTGCTTTTATTCTGGTCACACTGGCAGCTGATTAGATGGTGCCCACCCAGACTGAGGGTGGGCCTGCCTTTCCCAGTCCACTGACTCAAATGTTAATCTCCTTTGGCGACACACTCACAGATACACCCAGCTACAATACTTTGCTCCCTTCAATCTAATCAAGTTGACAAGCACTATTAACCATCACACCATATATCCAAATAAAGGGAAATGTTCTTTTCAAACACTATTACTCTAAAATTGAATTTTTCCAGTGTCTTCAGTGGCTGATCATAGGCAGTATGTAAATACATCTGAGCCAATCTGAGTTAAATAGGTATCCTGACTATGGGGCTTTACTATTGGACTTAAATATGCTTATATACACTGAGACACTCTTAAGAGGGAGACGGTGTGTCCAACAACTCCAAAATTATTTATCCAATTAATCCCTTTTAATTGAGCATATTTTTGATGTACAAGATAAAAATTCAGATATGAGGCCCTGGAAAGATGCACTTCTCTTTACTGGGAGGTCTCCACCAAAGTCAGTAAACACTTTACCTTATCCTTCTGTCCTGGGGGCCATATGGGTTCATAGGTAGGGGAAGGGATAGAATAATATTTTTAATTGAAAAGAGAGTATAATACAGATTCTAAGATTAAAACTTTTCTGGTAGTTTCTATCATTCATTCATCATCCATCGATTTACTCTTTGACTTGCCATTCTCCTAAATCCTATACATAGATTTGAACTTGTATACATACATTTGAACTTGTTTATACTCCAAAATAGTGGTATGTTTAGTTCTAGTAAAGGACGCTACAGAGCACAATAGAGACATTAAGAAGGGTTCAGAGAAGAGTTACATTCATGAATTAGGAGACTGGAAAATGGCAGCTCTGGGTAACAATTTTATGAAATTAAAATAATTATTCCAGTTGGAGAAACAAGGAAAAAAAGCCTAAATGAGTATAGGTTTCTTCAACCATTCCCTGAACAAACATTGATAGTATCTACTCTAAACAGGCAGTGAGCTATTTTAGATCTTAGAGATTGAACAGAAGTCTGAAGCAGAGGAAATGAACTTAACAATTATAAAAGCAGAAGAAACGTTATTCCAGGAGACCCTGTTCTGCTCACTGTAGAAGGCCTGAAAGTGCCTCCAGTAGCCAAACCAGCCTCTTGTTTCCAGCACAAACCAGTATTCCATTGCCTGCTCTAAGAGCACCCATGCATGCCCTGTGGTACAGTGAGGGAAAGCATGGGACACAGAGTCAGAGGGCAGGCTTGTGTTGGGGGCTTAGAGCCTCAAAGAGGAGCTGTGGAAGAAAGTGGTTATGTTCTTACAGATTAAGATTTGAATACCTCCCCCAAGGTGCTCAAAATATCTTTATAGAGAAAGTATCAGACAATTAAAAGCGCATGGTTCAAATGTATCTTTTCCACTGTGAGACTGCTCGAGCTACTCAACAACTTACATCCTTTTTTCCTTATCTATTAACTGGTGACCGTAATACCCATCCACTAACATTTTTGTAAAAATTAAATGATATACATGTAAAGAATTTAATGAAATATATAAAAATCTGTATGGCATCTGAGATAGAGTAGGCAAATAGTAGATAATTTGCTATTATTTTGTATTGATACAAAATGGTTGTCAATATGGGGTTTGAGGTAGGGGAAGGGATGGAGGGTACAGTGCATTTTTACAGATGTGGTACCTTTAGACTATCTGGCTCGCCTCTTGTTCCCATTACTTTATAGTACTGTAACAGAAAGTCATTTAACCTTTAAACCTCACTTCCCTAATCTGTAAAATGGATACATAACAATAGTACCTAACTCAAAGGGTTGTAGTCAAGATTAAATGAAATACAGTATGTAAAGCACTTAGTTCAATGTATGACTCCAAAACAAATAATAAATGCCATCTCATTTAATGGTGCAGTACTCAGAGTTTATTTTATCAATAAACCCTTCCATCAGTTAGTGTTTATTGTCCGAAAAGAGACTGATGATGTTTAGTGAGCAGGAATCTTATTTATAATTATTTAGGTAAAAGCTCATCCATTGAATACTCTGTAAGCTGGTGGCTCTCCTAAAGGCTCCTGTCCATTTTTGCCCTACAGCTTTCTTTAAGATACCCTAAGTGACGGCTTGTGGTCACCAGATATTTTCTTTCTTTTGGTTGACCTTTGCTAGACTTCAGATGAGAAACTGCTACCTCTAGATCTCCCATCGTATAAGCTAAACTATATTTTCTCTAACTAAAATGTCTATTTCTTATTAAGTAAAGCAACATTGAGACTGGAGGGCTTGGGTTCTGGAGTGAGACATGGTGTGATATTTGTCAAGTTGCTAACTACTCACAGCCTCAATTTAAAACAAGGGAAGGTGACATTGTAGCTGAGACATGAGACCTGAATAACAATGAGAAGTCAGTCATTCAGAGACCTTGAGTGGGACGGAGAAAAGGTGTGCAATGACAAATCTAGACATAAGAAACAGCAGGTGCAAATACCCTCAGGACAGAACAAAGATTGTTCACTAAAAAGTGTGTGTGAGAGAGAGAATGGTTTGGCTGTAGGCATTCCACAGCTGAAAGTTTATGAGGAAAGATACATATCTTATACTTTATATTAAGCTGCTCCTACTTCTAGCATGCTGACTTAATTGGCTGATAAATTGATTCCCTCTCTGCTAAAATTCATCCCTGAGTTTAACCTATTTTCTTATATTCTTAACCATATGCAATCATTTTCCACTAAACCTCTGTGTACCCAAGTAATTTCACTCCCCACTTGGTATCTCTGGTTTCTAGCATTGTAACAGAGAACTATCATGACGGCCCCTCAAAAGCATTATATGTTATTACCTTTTTCCCCAGCAGCTAATTATCCACCCCATTCACTGCTCTGCTGAACTTCCTCCAATTCGTCTCTATCTTTTTGCTACTGAGCTAACAAAATAGAATAGCCTTTTCTCTAAGAACAGTATTACCAAAGAACAGAGGGACAATCTCCCCTGAGTGCTTTACTTGGCATTCCTTTGAGCCCCATCCCAAACAGTCTGTTTATTTTCTGTTACCTGATCCCATCGCAAAATCAGGTCTGCTCTTCTGCCCACTACTCCTATGCCATTCTTGCAGCCAGCTTTCTAGGATTTGTCTTTCTCACTTAGTGTCTGTTTCTGATATTCTCTCCCCAGGTGGTGGTGCACTTTTTTGAGATGAATCTCAATTTCAACTCTACCTATACTTGCAGTAATTTTATGCCTGAAAGCGTTTCTCAATTATTTCTGTATTCAGCAGTGTTTTAGGGAAGCCAACCAACTACATCCACCTAATCCTAAATGAATAGAATCAGAAATTCTTAACTGTGATGTTCCTAGAGCAAAAATCCAGTAGAAAGGCAGCTTCTCCCGAGAAGGGGTGAAGGCCAGAGGCAGATCATATTAAGATAAACGAGACTCCAAATGTGTTGGTTTATGGGCCTGGAGGCCTGGATTTAGGTTGTGACTCTACATTTCATGTGTCCTTGAGACAGCCATTTCTCCACTCTGGTGCTCAGTTTTATCTTCAATAAAATAAGGACTGAAACTATTCATGGTCTTCAAACATTTTGTTTTGTTTTTTTTTTTTAGCACTGGAAGTTTTCTTAACACACACGTATATGTAGCTCCAGTTGAATTTATTGGGCAAAAGTGACACTTTTGGAATCTGGAATTGAGGACTACTCAGTCCATCCATCTACTGATCCCCTGGATAGTCTTCCGTGGGTCCCTGGGAACCCTCAAAATACAATTTATAAACTCTTGGACTGGATGGCTCTGTAAGCCCCTTCCCACTCTCTGGATCTGTAAGTATTAGGTGGTAGCTGGGAGAAAGAATTGTGCATAAATGAATACAAGGAAGAAATTAACAGAAAGAGGAGAGAAGAGGCAAACTAGCATGAGTTGAGTGTCTATTATGTCCAGGCATCGAGAGCGGGCCACAGGCCTTCACCAACAGCAGATTCATGTGTATTCCCAACAGAAGTGCGTATCATCAGCATGCATCTCTATGTACAGATAAACCAAACATTTCTGACATGAAACCAGAATTGTATCTTAAATATAATTAAGTACTCATATATTTTCTTCTTTTATTACAGTAGGCCATCCATCCTTCCCCAGAGAGCATTACTGAGCATTCAGTGTCGACGTAGCATATTCAGTAGCAGTTTATCCCAGACACACATCCATGGAGAGGAGGGAGCTACACGCTTTCCTGATCATCTGGTTTCATATGAAGACAAAGGTTAAAGTAGGACAGATGAGTGATACTCTACCAAAGATTGTGAGTACAGCATTCTTAACATTCCCATTCTTCTACTAAGACCAGGCAAAGGCAGGTGAGTTTGCTGATTTGTACTGATTGATCAGAATGCATGTTCTTGGCCGTATATGTATGATACACTATTGAAATAACTGGAGAAATCCTCATCCTACCAAGCATGTATTCATAGAAAAATGAGATGACTGTTAGCTTAAATTCTGCTTTCTCAGGGAGGTCTTGATTGACTAAATGCTCGAATTTTAAATTAGCTCTTCCTGTTTTTCCCTCTTTTTCTACCCTGTTACTTAGCTTCACAGAAGCTAAGTGTGTATATATATATATATACACACACACACACACACAAACGTATACACATATGCATATATGTATTTGTATATATGTATATATGTGCGTGTATACATATATACATATATATACACACACAGACACACACACATATATATATATATATTTTTTTTTGAGATGGAGTCTTGCTTTGTCACCCAGGCTGGAGTGCAATGGCGCCATCTCGGCTCACTGCAAGCTCCACCCCGGAGTTCACGCCGAGTTCACGCCATTCTCCTGCCCCAGCCTTCTGAGTAGCTGTGACTACAGATGCCTGCCACCATGCCTGGCTAATTTTTTGTATTTTTAGCAGAGACGGGGTTTCACCGTGTTAGTCAGGATGGTCTCAATCTCTTGACCTCATGATCCGCCCACCTCGGCCTCGCAAAGTGCTGGGATTACAGGCGTGAGCCACCACACCTGGCCCGGAACTTATATAATCTTTAAATTATATGTTTATTGATTTAATCTCTCTGTCTCTCTTCCAGGCTGCATGTTCCATGAAGGCAAAAATGGGATGACTCCATTTATTTTCTGCCTCCCCACTAGAGTAGAAGTTTCTTAAAGATAGGGGCTATGGTCATTATTCTTAGCATCTCCAGCTCCAGTGGCAGTAATAAGACAAAGAATGCCAGATGGCCCAGTGCTCCATGACTTTTTGTGTGAGTGGGAGGTGGGGAGAGTTCGTGAAGGCTTCAAGGACAAGTAGAACTTGGAGTTAAAATGTTGCTAAGAAAAATCTGACAGTGGTCACATGACAATATGTCATTTCCTCACTCTGCTCCATCTTTGCAGGCAGTTCCCACTCTTCCTAAGAGTGATGACTCTTCCCTTATAATAATAATATTAATAATGATGAGGGTTTAAATTGGTGTTTATTATCTATTTATGAAATATTAGGTGTCAATTATCCTAAGCATTCAAACTATTAATTTAATAACTCCTGTGTGTGCTCCCAGGAGGCCAGAACAGTATCTGAGTCTGATTTGCAAATGTAGAATAGAAGATTTCCTTGACCCAAATGTTAGATGAACCTTAAGTCAAAGGCAGACTCAAGTCATTACAGCATCTACTTTCTTCAAGCCCACGTAGAACGAATTGCATTCCATTTACCAAGCAAGGCAGGCATGTGAAATGTGGAACAGCAAGTCAACTTCATGCTTCACTGCAACTTCAATCATTTGGAAGCAAATATCTAAACATTTTGTAAGAATTGTTCATCTAAGCTCAGCAGGAACAAGTGCCTCTATTGATTAGCAATCATACAGCCAGACAGAAATGAAAAATGCTCTCATCACTGGCCTCAGAGAAATGCAAATCAAAACCACAATGAGATACCATCTCACACCAGTTAGGAATGGCGGATCATTTAAAAGTCAGGAAACAACAGGTGCTGGGAGAGGATGTGGAGAAATAGGAACACTTTTACACTGTTGGTGGGATTGTAAACTAGTTAACGATTTATGGAAAACAGTATGGCGATTCCTCAAGGATCTAGAACTAGATGTACCAACAGCCCAGCCATCCCATTACTGGGTTATACCCAAAAGGATTATAAATTACTGCTGCTATAAAGACACATGCCACACGTATGTTCATTGGGCCACTATTCACAATAGCAAAGACTGGAATCAACCCAAATTCCATCAGTGACAGATTGGATTAAGAAAATGTGGCACATATTACACCATGGAATACTATCAGCCATAAAAAAGGATGAGTTTGTGGTCCTTTGTAGGACATGGATGCAGCTGGAAACCATCATTCTTAGCAAACTATTCGCAAGAACAGAAAACCAAACACGCATGTTCTCACTCATAGGTGGGAACTGAACAATGAGCATCACCTGACGGGAAGGGAATCACACACTGGGCCTATCATGGGAGGGGGAGGGGAGGGATTGCATTGGAGTTTATACCTGATGTAAATGACGAGTTGATGGGTGCTGACGAGTTGATGGGTGCAGCACAGCAACATGGCACAAGTATACATATGTAACAAACCTGCACGTTATGGACATGTACCTAGAACTTAAAGTATAATATCAATAAAT